TAGTACCAGTGATGTTAGAGTGTTCATAATCTAGCATTAATTCATCATTGATACGATGTGTACGGCAAGCTATATATCATTGTCCCTTTCGTGTCTGGCGCATGGCAGGAGGCGCGTCCTGACAGCCCGGCTTCTACCGCTACGCCGCCCCGTGAGTCGCTAATTTGCTCTACTAGTCGTTATCAAGCATTCCAGTGATCAAATTATCGTGACAAGTTCATTATTTTCCTAAATTAAATGCTAATAAACATATTTTGTCCCTTATTCAGACTTTGTTTTTTTTTAACAACCTGCACCTTAACATTCGTTTAAAAATAAACGCAAACGTGTAGATTAATCAGACAGTTGGTATTTCTTTACATTTTGAGGCATATACCCGTTATTTTAGTATCTCCATTTTCAATGTAAACTTGTTCAAAATATCACAAGATTAGAACGTCGTAGCCGTTAATACTTTTTACACCAGAGAATTTTCTGTTCGAATTCTTAACAAAAAAAAATGTTTTCAGACAACCATCCGCAGGGTCCGGAGACATCTTTGAGAAAACAGGATGCCGACAAATGCAGGCCGCCGCTGGATTTCAAATCCGCAATTCATCCCGGCACCTTGGTCGCCTCGATGGAAGTGACGCATCAGTCCAGCGACGGGGCAGTGCACGTGTCCATCCCACCTGAATGTAGCAGCAGTAATGACGGGCAACCCTCGGCACAGCAAGACGGCAACTCGAGCGCTGATGTACCTTTCGTATCATTACACCTCCAAACCCAATTGGATGTAAGGTGTTCTTCATGACGCATTAAAACAGGAAATTTTATCTTCATGAAACATTAAAACAGGAAATTTATTTGGGAAAACCACCCTCTAATCGGTATTTTCCTCAGCTTGTTAATGTTACGAATGGAGGGTTTTCTAGTGTAAAAAAAACGCTGTCATACGTTTATACAACGTTTGTAAAGTGAATAATTTCATTTAAACCCATTTTTGTCCGAAGGGGATTGTTGATTAAAAATGCTAGTCATTATTTGTTAACGGTATCATGTCGATTCGTTCTCGTCGTCTTAATGTAGTATAACTTGGAACGTGCAATAATTATTTTTAATTATTATACTAGTGGTTTTTCAACAATTTATATTTCTCTATAAATATCCACCAACTTCAGCTATCTCTACTTAACCAACTAATAATTAATTGATCCTTTATCTAAATTAAGTCAACTGTATACATTTCCGANACAAATTTTATTATTCTCAAATTAAAGGAAGCAAAATTTTTAATGCAGTGCATGGCAATGGCCAATAAAGTTAAAAATAATTCAAAATGAAAGCACTGAAATTTTTACAGAAACAGTTAGGCCTGTAAAAATTTACAAATCAATTTTGAACTCTATAATTTTGAATGAAGGACTGACGAAAGGTGTTGTGCTTGGTGAGATTCCGAAGAAGGAGCAAGAGGCGTTTCGAAAACAGATGTGAAGTTAGAAGACTGAGCTGACTGGGAAGTCAGCTGGGTGGGAAGTTTTACAGTCGCTCCGGCACCAGCCAATTGTTGCACCAGTTTTTCAAGGTCCTGAATGGTTTCACTGTCACCTGAAAATAAAGCAATACTTCAACACAATGAATCATAATATATTTACAATACACCTTGCCAGATGGGTAAAAGTTCAGTAGGTAATTTTAATAGAAAATATGATACTACTGACTATTTGTTGTGCTATAATGCGACTCAATACTTCACAATGGAGCTTTTTCTTGGCTAAGATCATTAATAATATTTTTGAATGCAATAAGTAATGTGTTTGTTTAATAAAGGAAAACTTCATTTGTCAGCACAAGACCAAATAATTTCCAGTTTTCTCACAACACCAGCAACATCACAATGCCACAACACAAAAAAATTGTGGCAAGGGCTTGTCCTATTATTGATCAAGTCCTATTATTGAAGTGTAGCAGTCCTATTGACCTTGTTTGTGCAATGATTCAATATATTCTGATTAGAATTCTTCCCAGAGATTGATCAACATAACTACAAATGGACAGAAAATCCAATAATGCTATTTTCTGTAATTTTTCTCATTAGCAAATAATTATTTTTGCAGCAGCCAATCATTCTTAAAATAATTATAATTTAACAAAAATACTTACTATTTTTACATGAATTAGAATATTACACTTACCTCGATGTTGGAGCCTTGTCTTAATTTGCTGTAGGAGTTGCAAAGCACTGTCAGAAAACGGAGTGTTGCTCAGTCCATCAGAAGAAATACGACCTCCACTTCTGACCTGCATCAATGAAACAGAATAGATATTTTCTTAAATAATTGAAAAACCGCCTTTTACCTTGATGTTGACAGTCGCACAAATCAGTATGGGTCAGAGAGAGCTGCTCTGGATTCTATAGGAGAGCAGTAATCAGAAAACCTCTGGTTTCAAATACAAATGCTTCAAAGCAATGCATTCAGAGAGGTGTAAAAACCTCCAGAATTGGTCCCTTGGACAGTGGAAAAATGTAATTCTCTTCAATGAATCATTGTTTACCATATTCTCAACTTATGGTTGAGTTTACATTAGGAGACACTCCAAACGTAAACTTTCCACTTGTAATTTCCAACCTCTAACCGAATTTGAATTTGGAGATGCTCCTCCCAACCATAAAACATGGCGGGTGATCTGAGATGATCTGGGGTGCTATTTCTTGGAAATTAGGCAAACCAATGATTTCTCTTCATATAGGAATCCCCAGCTGTGACTTTAGGAATTTTTGGAGGACCAAGTTCATTCAATGATTCAATCATAGTTTTCAGAGGAGAATGCTATCTCCCCAGATGATAATACCCTGGGGCCATACTTTCAAAATTCGTTAAGTGAACGTAAGTACTTACGCTCTATTTTCTTGCCTATGATTGGTGGATTTTGCTTGAAAGGCCGTCAACAATTGGCTGGTGGACTTACGATCTCTTAACTTTTTTTGAAAGTATAAGCCCTGATCCATACAGTTGGAACTGTTAAAAATGGCACAAGGAACATTCTAATGAAGTTGAGCATCTCATTTGGCCAGCACAATCACCAGATCTGACTATTATCAAGCATTTATGGTCAATTTAAGAGAATCAAGTCAGAAGTTGATTCCCACTGCCATCATTTTTACTAGAGCTGGAGGGGGGTTTAACTGAAGAATAAGTTAAAATTCCCTTGGAAACAAT